TCCACAATAGGGAACCAGTGTACGGCAGTTGGAAGCAACCACAATCAATGTGTTAGTAGAAAAGAAACCCATATATCATCGTAATAGTACCTTAGACCATAATCAAAACTTCATTCGACCGAGAATATCCTAATTATATGCTATTAGCCCTAGAACAGAATTGGATTGTTTTTCCTAAAACATGAACATTATACGAAGAAACAATGATAAAATGAGCTTTTATGTGGATGAACCTGTAGTATAAGGCAAAGAGTAACAATTGGCCGTCAAAAAAAAACCTCTTAATGTTACCGCAATTTTGTCGCAATAGCACGGCGCCAGTGATACGCTTAAGCAATGACAGTATAATCCCTAGGAAATGGCCGCGAAAAATAAGATACTGGTTTACGATATAAACATATTGAATATCCATTATACCGGTACATTGTATCGTATGTAATCATTACGTATAGCCATAACAATGTTTTGTTACACTTAAGTAGTAGCGGGCTCGTAAAAAAGATAGTACATTGATAATCTTCGATTATAGTTTCGATTTGTGTGTGTATCGAGGGGCCATACTAATTATCTCAGCATATTTTATTGACCTTATACCTCTAAAATTCTGTTTTACTATCATAATTTAGCACCATTTGGCCTCCCTAGCATTGTAGTAAATTCTGTACTGAACCCAATGCCTTAGAACAATCTAGTTTATATCCTGTTGTGTTTTTTATTCGACACTGACACCAGTCAACATGGCCATTAGTATCTTCTAACTCAGCTGGTAATTGGCAAGCTTCTACATAGGGTTACATGCGTGTACAGATTTGACTGCTGTTTTTACTTTCTCTGGAAAAAGAAGCTGAGCGCAGGTGTAATTTTCGTGAGGCTTATCTCTCTCTATATCATTTTGCATGTTTCTATTTTTTATATCACACAGCAGTGCTGATTGATGCCGCTTTGACTGTGTAATGACTTTCGCTACGGCCATGCAGGATGTGATTAGAATTATGTTTTCATCTTGAGCTAAATATTCTAGTTAGCTGGGATTTTTTTTCCAAGCAAGGTTTTCTATAACTAACAACGTCTACGCTGATATAATGCCAAAACGAAACCGTAGATATGTCCAAAAACGATACGAAATTCTGTATGTAGGCCTTCGCTCCCAAGTTAACGATGTCGCTGGCTTATGGTGCCGGCTAAAGAAGTCAGCTCTCATCTCGAGCCTGATAAACGATTGAAGCGGCAGGATTGGAAACATGTTTTGAGAAGCCCATGCTATACCCCAGTAAAGATAAAGTTACCCTGACTGCAACTTACGCTCTTAAAGGTAATTGCGGATCAGAGCTGTCGTTCTGTCATCAGGAGCCGAGTACACACGATATTGCCCGTTGGCAGGAAAGTGTCTTGTATTGCCAAGGTGTCGCAAGCTAGACGCTGGCTTCTCTGGGTTAGCTTCAAGCTATTCGTTCCAAACTATTCTATCCAGCCTTTGCAGTCATCATCCGGATTGCAGCCAGACACTAACAATAGGATAAACGCCAAGTCTGAACGTAGATATTGACGTAGAGTATATACGTGTAGTAATAATAATGATAACTGGAACAACGATCTACTATGACTAAGTTGTGCGTGTTGTTGATGACAATCATTGTCAGACCGGCGAGCAATCGTCCGCTATCCGGGTTCTGTAGGAACACTAGACGACTTTCGATCGTAGACTAGATCGTCAACTAGAGAAAGTCGATCGACTCTGTCGAGTATCGATGTCGTGCGACCCAATTGTATGGAGCACTGGGTCCACGAATAAGAACTCCAGGCCCGAAGGTAGTTCAGGGGCTTTATCGTAGCAGGGCAGTGATAGAAGCTCGATGATGAGCCGGCTTAAGGTGATTACGGTAGATATACTGTAGATATGACATATGAGTTTATTAGATCGCAGTATTCGCTCTGTAATATGAACATGTCACTTACCATTCAAGCAAGCCTAGTAAGTTTTACAACCCGGGACGATAGCGTTAGCCCGTGGGAAAGTGACAGTTTTTGAAAAAGGAACGTAATTTTGTTTTGTGTAGAATGCTTTGTTGTGTCGATGTTGCTTAAAGGGCGCGCATTAGAGCCCGGCATAGGTTGCAATGCCCTTGAACGTTTTCCAAAGTTCTCCATCAGCAGTTGACTACAGAGCACTCCTTGTAGAAATCGACGATAAACTATGGCGTACAATGTACATACGAACAATAGTACACTTCAGAGGGTGCAAATTTCGACACATGCTGCTACCTTTCGAATCGCTACCGATAATACCGAAACGCGATATTTTATCTTCATTTAATTACGTACGTTTCTTCTATTTCTAGAGCGACGCCATTAATCATCAAATGCACACAAATAACGTTCCACGACAGCCAGGTTAGAAGACAAGGAGCAAAAGATGACGGTTCAAGATGAGACCAAGGTTGAGATCGTTCAACTAAGCGGTAAACTGTTTCGGTAGTATTATTATTATTATTATTTAAAGGTACAGTATCGAAACTTTTGTTGACTAAGACAGTTATGTGACATAGCTTTATAGTTGCGGTGTCGCTTTATGAATTCTTTGAAGTGAAATAAATATTCGAATCTGGGAGGTGTTGCTCTAGTGCAAAGCTTATGATACGAATTGTGCTCCGATGCGTTCTTGTACAGCGTCCATGATGAGGTTTGTGCAGATGGAATGGCCGGTACCATCCTAATGAACATTGTCAATCGCGTCTCTTTTTAGAGGGCCGTTTTACCCGAGGGGGTTTAACTTCCGATCCACTTAGTATGCGACCCGAATCTCATTATTGGATCTGACGAACTAATTTATTTTTACCGAAATGCTCATACGGGTGCGAGTGTTTGGTTAACGTCACAAACCTAATATCATCTGCATGTGACTAAAAGGAAAAATACCATATGGACAAAGACAAGAGCTTCGAAGCTTCAATATACATAATAAATGTTTTCAGAATAATGCTTCTGAGATAATTGTATTTCTGATGTATGGCCGGATCCAAAGTATTTAGGCAGATGCTGGCGCAGTTTCTGAGCTTGATTAAACCGTTTCCATTGGAGTCATTCTGCCTAGTTATGCAGCCATCTTTCATTAACGACTCTCCGAAACCAGAGTAACAGCAGCCGAAAAAGTTTATAATTACGGTTCAACAGTCCTTTGTCTACGCCTTATACGACTATGGCTGGTGTCAGATGCTAATACGAGCGTGATAATGGTTTCCCTCGTTCTAATATCATCAGCAAGTGATGAAGAATATGAATAGACGCTATATGGAAAAAACAAAACCAAGAAGTATTTCGAACGCACCAATATATTTATTGAAGCTGATCTATTCGCTTTGAAGAAAAACCGTACTAGCGACAGCGCTCGTGCAAGTGTGCCTCTGAGAATCTAACAAGAACTACCGGGTGCATTTTTGTCCCGAATAACACCGACCTCCAAAGGGGTCGGTGAAAGGGAAATTAGACATAGTAATGTATGTGTCGTGTTACTAGTCCTGGATTTTGCCATCGGAAATTCAATGATGAAATACTATGTGTGTCATTGTTGTACGCGCATGAAGTAGGTACGATATACTATTTTCACGGTGTTAGCGTATCTATAACGCGTAACGTAACACGTTGACTCCGATTGAGCCTAATATCAGAGCAGAGCTGCATGGCGTGACGATGCTCACGTTCTGACCAGAACGAAGTTGCTGCAAACACGAATATATATCTATAGCAATAGAGATGATAACAATAAGGAACCGATTAGTTTCTTGTATGCTTTTTACTCACTTTATGCTGATTACGTGTTTACTTATAATATAAAAATTCATACGTTAGTATCAAATCGATTATAAGTATATTATAGTGTATCTTTGAAGAACAAGCCATATGCGAATTTTATGTGAGTTTAGGTGCTATCACACCTACTTATGTATGCTAGGCCATCTACGTTTACCCGTTTTTACAGACTAATCAGCGCTGTGCAACGCCAATCCCCGGATCCTCCTACATCGCCCCACTTTAGCCGTTGATTGATTTTGCTACCGATGATGCTTCGTTGACCACAAACTGCAGCTTAGATCAAGCCAATAATCACTTTTGCCGTCTCTCTGGTTTTGTACCTGTACCTTATTTCTTGTGCCACCTAAGCTAACATAAATTATATTTCGATCGATATACAGCTCTGCATTGTTTTTGCTTTTTGCATTCTCTCGTTGTGAATACCTTATATCTTGATTTGGTCAGTATTGACTGAGTGATCCCAGTGAACTCCTAATTTATTATTATCTGAATATCCAGTTACTTGAATTGTCGAGTTTTCCCATTTCAATCGCCATGCTCTATGTATGTATGCCATGCAAGGTAGAAAAATAAGTAGCTTTAGCAATGTATTATATGTAAATTAAACTTAAAGTAAAACCTTTGCCTTCACATAGCCAACACTGTTTTTTTGGGTGCAGATAGTTACAATGAACGCATTTCAGTGCTCGTGTGTTAGCGATCCAACGAATTGTTGGCCATCCCAGCTACAGTTTGATATGTTTACATTTTTTTGATGAAGGCAGCGCGCTGTCAGAGCGTCCTTTAATAATATGGTATTGTACTTCCTACTTCGTAACCGTCTAAGTAAAAAATATAGTATTTTCAATTATTCATTCCATTAGTTTTTGTATATTCATGCGGGTATACTTATCAAGAGTAATATATTCATTCGGAGGGAAATCATTGGTGCTTATTATGTTGTTGTCCTCACACACCCTACCGTTACGTTAAAACGGCCCTTTTGCAAAGGTCCAGTCCTGCTTACATCAATGTTATGTTGAAAATTGTTCTCTGAGAACCCTTACACAAGAGGCGGAGGGTGTTTACCATACATTCGGAAATGTTCTTGCTTGCGATATATATATATATATATATATATATATATATATATATATATATATATATATATATATATTACAAATATTTGTACTAAATTCCAGTGAATTTTTTTCTGCGACCATCTTAGTTTGACATGAGCCATTGCCAAGCGACTATGTTTAACCTAGATATTCTACTGAAGGGAAAAATGGTAGATATCAACATAGACTATATAACTACGAAGTTTTCGAACTTAATCTGGCAGACTGATGCATACGGTCTTAATCGCTGCAACGTTCAACTTGTTGTTGAGGCAATAAATGCAAATAAGTTTAAAACAAATAGTGCATCCGGTTCGGCTAGATTGGCCAGGTTTATTCTTCACACACGTTCGTTCTAAGGTGTATCATTGTGATCGCTAAGGCCGCTGCTATCTTCTTCGCTGTCCTGTGAAACTTGGCGAATCACAATACTGGGTGGTTGTGGGTCGGGCTTTTGGTGAGTGAGTGACCTAAAATGAGATTGATATCATTTTGATTAACGGTTTGGGAATCGTGCTTGCCAACACTTAAAGCAACAGGTCGTGCAAAGTGGCTGCTTAAAATGACAACATTTTAAACGACCCATTGGGATCCTACCCAAAACAGGCTGGACATGACAATGTCAGAGTCGGACCAAAGTTATAGCGCTAATAAACATCGTTACCAAAGATGATAACAGTTTTATTACATGCTAACAAGTTGTTCCTCGAGGACGGTGATCCGACGTCGTAAAGCATTGACTGAATGAATAAGAGCATCTTTTTCGTCTCGTAGTCCTCGTATGAAGCCTTCGAGTCGTTTCACCGTCGACCGATGGCTTTCCACAGAGGACTCCAGTGCGAGCCCACTACTATGCGAAACCTGGAATTGATCGCACGCGCAATAAGCCAACCCACCACAGAGAAAACACGGGTTATCTATATCATTGAGGTATCTTTAAGGATTAAAGTGTCCTTAATAATGCGAAACTCTGGGATATTAACGAATATCTCATAGTAATGCCGTTTATAACGTCGACCTATGCAATCTTGCGCGCAATACCAAATATTAGTGATCAAATAAGTTTTCCGAATTCGCGCAGTGTACAGCGACTTTAAGATCTTACATTTCGTTGCGAGAATAATAAATACTGATAATAAGAACAAAGAAGCCATGTAAACGGAGCGCTGTGTCGATATCGAAAACGGCCCAATTCGGGTTTTTATGAAATTTGTCGAAAAATTAATTGAAGACGAGGCAAGCGTCCGGTGATTCGATTGAAGCGCATTGTGACAAGTCTGCTGAGTCACGCGAAAGTAGATGGAGGATTCTCAAAAACAGTAGACGGTAAAAACCTCCAGGCTTAGCCTATCTAGGTGCCGTAACGAAACACCATTTGTTAGATTACCTAGGAGGCTTTTCGAAAACAAAGGTATGTTTTCAATTAAATCTAAATTAAGCTACTAGTCCTAATCCTCAAGCCTGGAAGTTTTTCACAATAAGGACTCAAGAAGGTGTACCGTCTATGATACGGTATCACAAATAGTATCATTATATAGGAAAGACTAATCTCACACCTCTCCTTTATTGAATATTGCTTTAGGATAGATTTTTTCCTCTAAGCTTTGAAATAACAGATAGGTGTTACCAACAGGTAGGACAACTGTATGGGTGAGGAGAAGAGCAATTGCATTGAATTTCATGTTGTAATCTCCCTTCTCCCTTAATACAACAGAGGAGCAGTGGTCTGCTTCCTGGACACGTAGGCCAGACTTCATGCAAAAGTCTTTAAGATCGTAAGAAACTTTAACATGTCGAAATAGTGCCCCGCGTGTATTTTAGCGTACAACTTAACTCACAGATTCGAAACCATGAAAGAATAAGATTCGTAACGATCAAAGTAGCCTGAACCTAATTCTCGGCAACAGACTTCATGGACGGATGTAAAAAGATTGAAAAAAGAAGACATGTTCTTAAACCTGGTGAAACAACAATAGCGTCTGTATAGCAATACCCGAAGACGTGGGGCGCTGTTTGCCCAGAAGCACACGCATTTCACTTATTCATCAAAATAACCAACGCAGAGCACGAAAGAAGTGCCACTGTGGTAGCACCTGCATCTTGTCCATAGGCACTTTTGTGATTAAACAAAAACGAAATGATCACGGTAATAAAAAAAAATACGATTTTGGGATATAGAGCTTTGATAAAGCTATTTCCTATACCAATGTCGCTTGAATCATATAATACTTTATGAAGGAAACTAAAACTATTTCAATTATGTTTCTTATAGAGTCGAATGTGATTTATAATATTTAGTAGCAAATGGTGCAATCGTTGTGCGACCTATGTCGTTGCCTATATAAACGAGAACCATATTTTTCGGACACTGAGACTAGGGACTATAATTACAAACATACCTGTAGCTGTTCCTGCAAGCTCTGAATCTCTAATTGCAAGTGCTGGTTCTGTGACCGAAGAGCAGATATCTGCTGTTCCAGATCACTTTTAATTTTGAGCTCCCTGGTTACCGAGTTGCCCGGAGTCGCCTGCTGAGAGCCGGACTCGCCGCCGCATTCTGCTAATGGGTACGATTTGAAGTTGTATTGCAACTCGTGAAAGACTCGCAATCAATTTGCAAAATTTTACGCTTTCGAAACGTTTAAAAGGCAAACGAACGCTCCTAAAACTTCTCCGTAGTTGACAACAAGTTCACCTAACGTCCTTCCCAGAGCTGTCACAAACGGGACTTGCATCTCCAAATCCTGTATTTATCCATCCTGTAACTATTCACTTCTACGAATCGCTGCCTCACTATGCTACGCATGATCTGCCGGTGCGAGAAAAAACGTACCTCCCGTTGAGGGTGACGAGATGTGATGTTGTTGGCTGCTTTGTGGAGTGGCTTGTAAAACGTCCTCCTGGATGAGACGAAATTCGGTTTCATAGTCGAAGATGCAACGGGAAAGGTCGGACTGCGAAGCAGTCTTCACAACCGAGTGTAACTGCTCCCGACTTAGCAAAGGGACCTTTCGAAAATGACGCATAACAATATTAATCTTTCAAGCCACGTCTATAGACGATGAGTCCGATAGCAATAGCATCGAGCTACTTCGAGTCACTATCTGCGACGATTCATTCTATACGGGTTATAGTGGTACAGCAGATTTTATAGACAGATAAAAATTACGTTTTATTGTTGTCTTTTTCTGGGGATATCGGATAAGCTTTTTTCTAAAAACCTATTAATTTGTCGTTCATATGCATGGTATACTTAGCGTTTGGCCTTGCTTTTACGGAACGGAATATCCGTGTGACTTGCTTGTGGAACGTGCATGATTAGGGCTACGTCTGTTAGCAACAGAACGGAAAGCGTCACTCAACAACCTGACTTTGAGTACGAGCTCGACATCATTCTTTAGAGGTTTGTATTGCAAAAAACGATGTAATAAAAAAAACTATGTACTTTTTTTTTCTGTAAATCAGACTGCTGTATAGAGTAATAGTGGGCAGAACTTGAACATAGTTTTTACCTTGTATTTAAGATAATCGGACAGCTCTTCAAAGCCGATGCACGAGAGTAACTGTTCTTTGTGCACTACAAGAACGGCCATGGCGACCTTAATTACAACATTAGCCCCCTAGAACAGATACGGATATGTGTATTTAGTTGTTTTGTTTTCACTACTGATGGGGATGCAGCGTGAACTTCCTTAACGGAATGCTAGACAAACTGCGAAGTCGGAGACAGAGATCTTCTATAGCGAATAACATAAATCCTTATTAAATGCACCGAAACGCTTTATTTACCTTGTCAGAGAGAAGAAGTTTTACACATAGCAAATTCACACGGGTTATACAGTAAAACATCGAAAACAATCAATCGTTATTGCTGTCAATCGACTAGAGCAAACGCTTCCGTTATCTCTTTTATGTTTATGCTAGGTTTTTTTTTACCATTTCCTGGCGGTTCTTTGCAGACATTGGGGCATCTTCCGTCAGGTGATACAAATAAGGTTCGTTCAATAAAATAATTTCACTTTTCAGGGTAATATATAAATTAACTGAAATTGAATCGAAACGCGTAAAGCTTATCGATCGATGTTTATGCCGTCAGTATGAAGTCCGTGTGTCGTTCGATTGATGGCATAAACACGTGCCTCAATGATGGAGATGTACTGTAATAGGAAATGTTTTCAATAGAAGACAAAAGGGTAGATCACCTGTCCAATTTGATTTCTAAGTTAACTAAACAGCATGCGGTTATCAGACCTGGATAAAGATGAGATCGAAGATTCGTACGACTAGCTCCATTGGGAAGTGAGATGCGAAAACGGTGAGAAACCAGGGTGTAGCGTAAAGAGCAGGTTCCATCTCAAAGCTCTCGAAATGGCTGTACAGATCATTGTGAATATCATGAAGGAGACGCCACAATTGGTACAGCTGAACCTGAAAATAGTGCACAGTTGAAAACGACACCCCCCCCCCCCACTGAGTGTTAATCTAGTCTTGAAGGCTATGCTAATACATATCCACCGCAATAACTGCCTTGGGGTTCGCATCTTTGAAAGCCGTACGTTATATAAGTAATTAAAAAACTAACGGCAATCGATTAAAATGTATTGTTCAGGTATCGATTTGGGGATCATCTACGCTGTACCTGCAACCCTTCCATGCTAGGAAGGTAGAGTTGTCGAAATCCGAGGTGGACCATCATATGCTTAAGTAACTGAAAGGCTTCTTCTTCGGTGAGATGTAGAAGCAGAACACCAGATACAAACGCAAGGCCTTGGCAATAGCCCACCTAAGTGGAAGTCCAATAAGAATAGTTTATTAAAAACAGTGGAAAATTATGACACTATGGAATTAACAAGCAAGATGGCAGGTAGATTTTGATTATATGGCGCAATTTTGATACGTAGCCCTGCTAGCTCATTTGGATATGAAACAGCACTCACATTTGGAATTAAATGGATACTCACTAAGACAAAGCATTACATGTATTTATTACGTAAATCATTTTTACAAGTACTTAGCCAGTAATTATTAACATACTCTTTCTCTTCGACTATCGAAAAACGAATTAATAAGATCGAAGTAACAGGGGAGAGTATGGAACTTTTAACTTATCCGTCAAAAATTACCTCAGGATCGACTATTGAATATGCTTTAAGTACGTTGAACAATGAAAGTTGTCCCTCTCCGAAACCATCTTTGTAGAAGCGATGGGTAGGAAATGTTCGAGCGAGATCGACTAAGATGAGATGTTGGTTCTCCGTTAAAGTCACCAACAAAGAGCTGTATTCCGCTGAAATTGTTAAATTGAAGTCCTAATATATGAGAGAAACTATACTGGTACCAATTTACACTGGGCCCTTAATATCAGACTATATCTCTAATCTACATAAATAGCTAAGAAAGTAAGACCCTTTAGGTCTTACTTTCTTAAAAGCAACGACTAAATGAGATAAAAATTAAATAAAGAACATTTTTATCTTGTGCAATAGTCGTGTAAAATTGAAAACACCTACAACGTCATACAATTGATACAAATTTTTCTCTATCTTTTCTTGCACGTATTTTTTCTAGCCATAATATTTTCCGGCTATTTGTAATAACGGACCTTTGAAGATTGGCGCATTCAAGTCAAGCGGTCCCCTATATGTGTAACGGTTGAAAATTTTGCTGAAGAGTTTCCAGATTTCACCTCGCTTTTGTTTGGGTACTCCCTGTCTAACCAAAGCCAGAATCAGTTCTTCTTGGCTCTCTGCTCGATTTTTCAAGACGCTTTCCCAGCTGAACTCATCCGGTGACCCCGAATCTGCATAGTCAAGACAGGTCTGCCTTCTGCGGACACGCAATCGAGAAAAGTATTACAGCAATACTTTTTATTATAACCCAGACGCTGAAGATAAAGCTGATGAGACAATTTCTATAACGAATAGAATATATGGGGGTCGTCCCTAATTTCTTTATTGGAAAAAAACGCCTTCCAAGGCATCAAGAAGGAAAAAACATCGTTGAGTTTTTCATTTCTCACTAATTCGAGCGGGTATGGGATCGATGAGAACTAAGCCCTATTTTCACCGTGGCCGCTCCGCGCCTCCTTCCGCCGCTGAATGCGGCCAATGTTTTGCATATCAATAGATGCTTCTACATATTCCAGATGCTCTGAACGAATCTGCCGGATTGCTGGAATTGTCCTCGTCTCATTTTCGTCAGTTTTTATCAACTGATGCGGTTTCGTACTATTATTACTATGAAAGATCTTTACAGAACGTAGTAGTAATCGGCAAACTGTATTCAAGTTAAAGTTACAGCCATGTAGCAATAAAAAAAAATATTAATTATTCGAAGATTCTCAAAGTAAATTAGCAAACTTCAATAAGAATTCACTTGAAAATAAAATTTCGATTTGTCAATGAAATTTTACACAATAAAATTATATATATATATTGCTGGATTAAAAAGCATCGGTATTTAAACAGTGAGTAGTAAGCATTTTCTCATTTCAGTTATCTAGAAAGCCAGGAATCTCTCACCTTATTGGTCACGATCGTCGCCGACTGATGGAAAGTTCTACAATGATTATTTGCAGCGTTTTAATGATTATTTTTGCCGGTACAAAATTGTACCTATATTATTTACTGCATTTCAGGTAAAACTCTATTAAATATCCGCTTTTTATTGAGGACGAGAGTGAACTGGATGAGCGAGCTTTAAATTAATCCAGATCAGGGGGATTGTTGCGTTAAACACAGTCGACGATGCAAAAAAAACTGTATTATTTTCCTGAGTACGAGAAGCTATGTTTTTTGCTCTAACTGTTTTTGATTAGCACCCAATTTTTCAAAAGCAAGGCAACGTACCCAATCAGTTGCGTTATTTTATTTTTTAATAATTGTTCGTTATTAGGTTATACACACCTTTCTAGTTCCGATTGTTGAATCAGCAATTTTTCATTTTCCCGCTCCATTCTATTAAGCAAGATAGTCTCTCTAATCGCCTTACGCCAAAGTTCCTTAAGTTCGCCACACGTTCTGTGTCTATTGGCGACGTCTGATGGCAACTCAGTACGTGACGTTTTGCGTGAAATCCGTCGAATCATATGCTTGCGGTTGGGCACAGGAACTAACGTGCTAGACGGAACGGTTGATGCCAGCCCACACGATAATGTAGGAGCGCGGGAAGGTGGCGGCAGAGGTGCTGATGGTGAAGCAGGTGGAGTGACGACCGACGAATGGGGCAATGACGGATGCCCCATTGTTGGCGTTACGCAGGTACGCACAATATGAGGAGCGGCGAATTTCAGCTTCGGCGAAGGAGACCGTCGCGTTGGGGTGTGTGGCCGAGCAGCTGATTCGGGGGACTTCGATCCCTTTTCCGGAATTCCGGGCAACCTGTCAAACCGAGCGTTATTGCAGGTAAATACTCAAGGTTTACGCGTGTACGAATCTAGCTTTGGATTTTTCCGTACCTGATTAGTTTTGTTTTGCTATTTCTTTATTACCGCGAGTAAAGTCAGTACGTGTAGTAGACTAATATTTATAGTACGAAAAACCACAAGCAAAGATGAGTCAAGTCACCACCCACGGTGTAAGATACTCTTTGGATTCAGCCGAATTCTTATCGACGCTCTCGTCACTTGAAGAAACCAGCGCTCGCGGGCCATCGGAAGGAAGTGCTGAAGTAAAATCTGATCGTGCCGGAGGAGATGAGAGGGTTCGACCAAACGGTAGGGAAGACTGCTTCTGCGGCTGAACGCACAAAACACATTATCATAACTATACAGCTGAGCGTTCAGGTATGGCTTTAGTTAATGTAACGAACGCGCAATGCTTACTTCAATTAGGTTAATGATAAACGGATAGAACTTTGCGTTAAAATAGCCTGCATGTAAGCTATAATAACGCTTGTCCTTAATTTAACTAAGAATAGAATGCATACGGTTTATTTACGGTTAGACATGAACCATAACACTGTGTTGTTGTGAAGATCCGCCCTAAACCAACGCTAGTGGATAGTTTACTGAATTATTCATGCCACACGTTTCTTCATCATTTTTCTTAAACTCATGTAAGGATCTTGAAGATCGACTGGCGTGTCCATTGCTTTTCCTTCGACTACACGTCCAGCTAAATTGAGCTACTCTTTAAGAACTAACCTTGAGCAATGTCTCGAATGATGAAGACAGCGTCTTCTGGGCTTTTTCCTTGATGTCCTTGAAGAGACCTAGAACTGCTTTTTCCTTCGCGCCTTGAGGTTGATGAAAATGTATTCCTTGCTTAAATTCAAAATGTTTCCGTAGCATATGCATGTACACCTGAAAATGAGCATGTGGCTTTCGCATAATAGGTTTTCAACCTCATCACATATTATCCACATCGAGGTCAGAATTAGGAGAATTATGCAAGATAAAACTAATGAGAATCAACCTCTCTGTACTCTCACAGACCGAATATATACAAATTCTATGTAAAACAACAAAAGTGACATTATTCATGATGACAACCAAAATGGCGCTAATTATTGGGGTGTGCTGCACTTATATATATATATATCTGTTGCATCATTTGTACAATGTAGATATAAAGAAGATCGTCTAATGATAAGGTAACCGTATACGTTGCCAGGAATATAAGGCGAACGAAATATATTCTTGCCTCATTTCGCTGTTGTGGTGAGGCGAGATCGCTATCGGAAATCCGTGCGAGGGCATTCTTTCGGTCTGACTCGTCAATTACATTGGATACCCAATTTTCTATGAGTCGCCACGATTCTACGACGTCAAGAGTCTCCAAACGAAGGCAGAGGTTATGGAACTTAAGCATTGGACAACCGTCGCAACCAAAATTGTTTATTGCGACTTTACCACCTCCTACAAATAATGTCAAGAGGAACGATTGTTTCCAGCATCTTCTAATAGCAAAGCTCAGCAACATCCCTACGACGTCTTTTTGCGCAGTAATTGCATGATTAATGAATATATCGATTGCGTAGCCAGGATCAATTAATGCAAAATAAGTTTATACCACAACATCTTCAATACTACTATTCGATGTATCGTAGGTTATTTTACCTGAAACATCGCGCGAAAAACAATTCGAATTAGTTCCGGTAACTTGAAGCTAAACATCTTCATTCCGTACTTAAGCAGTGATACTGCCGTGTCCGTTGTACATTTTTTTCAAGATAAATTTTCAAACGTGATCAAATTGTGATAGGCTTTGTCCAGAGTATACGCACTCCAGCAGCTGTACCCTAAAGGTAGTTACAAAAGTTGTGGGGTACAAATAAGAAATCGAGGAGGTTCGTTGTCGAACTGGAAGCGTATATGTAGATGAGCAGAAGCTATTGGGCACGTCTTGGTGTTTTTTTCCCATCGAGATAAACGATGGCCAAGAGATGACAACTCGCAATAGTACTCCCATCACTAGCTTACCCCTATCGTTAATGTATCTGTACAACCGATCATTTTAAGCTTAATATATTACCTTTGGCCGTCGTAATATTATCCTTGCTTTGTTTAATCGATAGGACGATCTCGCTCACGATGCTAGGCGACAAACACTTAAACACAAGACGTCCATAGGGCAGGCTGCTGGTCTCATGGGCATCGACGCAAGTGATTGCAAAGTGGTCTGAGAAAGTCGCGCCCTCCACACAATTTAACACCTAATTTTAAACGATACAAACATGCACGCGTGAAATAATGGCTTAAATCCACACTCGATAAAAAGCATTTATTTGAAAACTTGAAGAATCTATATGTATTTGATTTCTGATATGTTTGACGTTAGGTAACGTTACGACGAGATGAAAATCTGTACCGTTTCAAATGAATATTAACTTTATTCAGGCTCTCACGATGATCCAGGCAGTAATAAGATGCTTGCTTATGAACTGCACATGACAGACAAACGAGTGGTCCAACTTCGAAACCGGACATAGACAGTGGGCCCATTCAGTCAAAAATCCCAGTCACGGAAGAGATAATGCATTTATATTGTGATTTCTCTGTTTTCTTAGGCTGCCCAAATCACTCGGATCGAGCTTTGAAACAACGCTGTGCAGCGACGCCAACTCGGAGTAAAAGGACGCTAAGGGTCAGCTATAGAAATCTTTTTTGGAAGCTTTTTTTGAGCAAAGTTGACGCCTTTGCTTTCTTTTCTTTGACGCTGTAAATCAATGCAATATTAAGATAGACAGACTCAAGATCAGTGCCTACCATTGATTTCATTAGCGAACAATGAATAATTGAAGACTTAGGTGAATCAAATTGTTTTATCACCACGATTGTCAGCGATGCCATCAGACGTAACTTTGTAACCTACAACATATAACTTGCGGTCCGTGAGAATAGGACTAACCGCAAGAAGCCGAAAATGGTGAGCACGCTGCTTGCTAAACAGTGAAACATGTTCGAGAACGTGACTGGTTAATGAAATCCATTAGAATATTAAGCGAGATAGCCGAGGATAGTCCAATAACAAAGATTAAACTAGAAGGGTTCCTCTTAACTGTATCTGAATGCATCAATATATATAAAAAAGGAAAATTGCATTTAGTAACTAATGTAGTGAGAAGTACCAAAGTCAGCTAACCTCTGCGAACGTTTTCCCCCATGAAACCTGCTTCTTATCCGCGCTGAGCAGGACTATTTGCTGCTTGCCGAGTATGAGGATCATGGTGCGATTTCGAGATTCAAGCTTCATTGACGTAGAGGTGCACGGGACAGCTCGGTCCAACATCTCACTTCAGCAAAAATCGTACGTGCGTGTTAACAAGACGGGTTATTCTATTACAGCAACAGGACTGCGTCCCTATTACACTCATATATATA